GGCCAGTGAGGCAGAAAGGAAACAGAAGGTCATGGGGCCGGCAGGTGGCATGGTGGTTAAGGGCACTGAACTCCCACATGGCCAACCGCAGTTCAAGTCCCAGACTTGGCAGCTAGCTTTCTTACTTTCCCTCTCTCTTTCTGGTGAGCACATGTGCCTTACAGCAAATCTTAAAATAATAATAAATAAATAATATATAATAACAAATATATAATATATAAATTAATAATAAATATGAGGAGAAAACTGAAGTGGTCTGTGTTTGACTGCTTCTGCTTTCTCATGGACATCACAAGGTCAGCAGCCAGGGAGGGAAGGGACTAAAGGAAAAAAAAAAATAAACAGTGAAAGAGTTTTGTGCTGGACAACGGTGAGAACTCATTTTGAAATTAGTGATAATAAATATAAAATATGACCTGTCCTACAAACACATGCATCTTAAGTGCCTGGCCAGGTCTCCAGGAAGGGTTGGGAAATGACAAACGAACTAGGTTACCCTAGGCCTCGGGGGAGAGCGGCGGAAACAACAAGGAGTGTTTGTTCTGAGGGACCAGCGCGTGCGAAGGCCCTGAAACAGCACACTTGACGCATTCTAGGAACTGAAAAAGGGCAGTGAGGCCAAAGCGCAGAAACAAGGCAAGGGCCCTGTGAAGAGGTTACTAGATCATGGAGGGCCTGGCCAGATTCTGACCTCAGGAAAAGTGGAAAGTCTCTGAAGGGTTTTGGGTGTCAGAGAGACATGACTGTTCTGGAAGCATTGTGGAGAAGAGACTGGAACGGGGCAAGGGTGGCTGCAGGGACTAGTCAGGAGGCCACAGCAGTGAACCTGGAGGAACCTGACAGAAGCCAGGACTGGAGAGATGATGAGAATGGTTGAACAGAAGTGGTTGGATTTGAGCTATTTAGGAGGACCTGAACTTTGGAGGTGAAGGAAAACAGAGACTCACGGAGGATTTCTGGGGTCTAGACACCCCACAGGTCCAGTCCTAGATATGGCAACACAGACTCTATCTTCGGGTACTTGCCAGGTCTCCTCCCCATTGGCTAAGCATGCCAAGTGTCTTCAGTGGTAGATCTGCCCTCTTTGGACCTCTTACCAGCCCCATGCTTCAGGGGGTACCTCCATGTCCCTCAGCCATGCCCAGATCAGCAGAGTTAGAGTTTTGGGGGGCTGGCCTCAGAACTTCTAGCAGCTGAAGCAAGATTGTATTAGCTTTTTTTGAAAAAAAATTTTTAAGCAATCATATCATCCCCAAGGTATCCCATCTTAAATATTTATAATATTTCTGATATCAAATCTCACACTTAATTTGAGGCTGCAATAAAACCCCAAAAACTTGAGAGGGTAAAATCCTACTGTCCTCCCACGTCCTTGAGGGAGTTGTGGTCACGGGAACTGGAAGTACATAAAGATACAGCTAGGAGCACCATGCACAGTGGGCGCCATGGGAAGGAGGGTCCACTAGCCCATTCTCCACAGCCAGGCCAGGACCTTTCACTCCACCGTTAAAGAAGGAGTTGCTCTGGTTGGCCAAGTGCAAGACAACTTATCAGACTAAAGTAACTAGTGGACAAGTCACTTCTTGGTCCATCCTAGTGGACGGAGAAGGCGAATCAGTTACTCCTAGGGCCTTAGTACTCTGCTAGTCCCTTCAGCCCAAGGGCAGGTGGCTGGAGAGTGGAAGAGTTCAAAGTGGGGGGGAAGGGGACACCTTGGGCCTAAGTCCACCGAAGCTCTGCACTGAGGTGACTAGACACTGGCTCAGCATGAATACAGAGGCATGAGTCACTGACTGCTGCTGTACCTCGCCCATGGCAAGAATCTCACCTGGGGTTGATGTGGAAGGTCAGAAGAATGGGTAGGGCCCAATTTAAGCCGTAGCATCACCAAAACCCCACTTAGTACTGAGACTTGGATGTATATTTTATATCCATTATTTTATGTCATCTTTATAAGATCCTATGGAGTAAATAAGTATCATCACCCCTCACTTTCCAGATGAGAAGCTAAGGCAGGAAGACATGGCACACATCTAGATGGGAACAGCTGGACAGGAGCCAAGTCCATCTGACCCCAAGCCCGGCTTTTCCCAGTACATCAAATTTCCTCCTGGAAGAAATTCCTAGGAGAAACCTGGTTATTGCAAGGAATCTTTTGTCTGCCCATAAAAATTCTTCAATGACTCCACCACTTAGCAGCCAAGGGAATGTCGATTCCCCAAACGCCAGATCCCACCTTTGTAAAAAGATCACCAGCAGCAGCAGGCAAAGCTGTTAAGAGGGTAAAAGAGGTCCAGGCATGGAAAGTACCCACCCAGGGGCCTGGCACACAGAGTGGGTGCTGGCCGGGCAGGCGGCAGGGGCTTCAGAGTCATCATGGGGTTCAG